TAAAACTGAATATAGAGTTCTTGCTGACACTACCTCCGAGCTGTTATGGTTATGATGGTTACTCCATGACATGGGACTTACTCATTCATCCGCAACCTCACTTTACTGTGACAGTCGTAGCGCCATACAGATTGCCCACATTGATGTATTTCATGAGCGCACTAAGCATATTGAGACTAATTGTCACTTTATTCGTCATCATGTGCTCGAGGGTACCGTTCGCCTTATTCCTGTCTCTTCCTAGGATCAGTCTGCAGATATATTTACCAAAGCTCACTCTCCTCTTCGCTTCCGTGCTCTAGTTGGCAAACTCCAGATGACTGATACATTACCATCTTGAGTTTGAGGGGGGATGTTAGCATAATCTATCAACATTAGTATCCTAGAATTAAGGAGAGATAGTCCTCTCGAAATTAGTATCCTATCATTATCTCCTTAATTCTAGGAGAGATAGTCCTATTGAAATTAGTTGTACATATCCTTTTTGTATTCTAATTTAGGTAGCCGACCTTGTATCCTTAGCTCTATTATAAATAGGGTTGTAACCTGTTGAATTTTATATCAAGAATTATTATTCTCTCCATTTGTCTTCTTTGTTTTTGGTATCAGAGGGAGAAGAAGGTTCTAGCCCCCAATAAGCCTTCAACCCTCTCTGTTGCAGCAGCTCTGGGGAAGCAGCGTATCTCTTCAATGTTCACTTATTCGGTTTTCAAAAAGAGTAGGGAAGACAAGTCGAAAGGTTTGTCCTTTGATAGTATCCCGAGTTCGCCCCCGATGAAGTTGATAGAGAGAGGCGGCGAAGAGGACGAACGAGAATTCTATCGGGTGCAAGAAGTTCTGCTCCCATTGATCCAATTAAGATAGAATCAACCTATTGTTGGTATTGACTCAAAGACCACCCATTTTCTTTTTCTCTTTCCCCTCCTTCCGCCTTCGTCACCATTTGTATGTGGAGAGAGCAATTTCTCTCTTCTTCATTTTTGTTTTACACGATAAATTAATAAGTTAAATGGATGAATCCAAATACTTAACCGATGACCAGTCGTCATTGCAGTCGGGAAGCCTTCACTACAATTTTGACGACTCCACGCTCCTCGTGTCATGTCTCCATCAGCACCAGATAAGCGGGAAGAACCTATCACCACCAAAAGCCAATCGCCAAGTTGAGTCGCTTGACCAATCATCATCTCCGTCTCCACCAAGCACTTGTGTGTCATCAGAGCAGAGTCCAGAACAGACCCACCCCCTGCTACTCTTTCTGAAACCAAGTCTTTGTCTCTCATTGTTTCTATTGCTCTGCTGCTCTATAAACTGGTCTGGGTTTTCTAGCGTCAATAAATTAATAGATTTTTGGGTATCAGATCCAACCATTGGGATCGTGCCATGTAAAGAAAAAAGATGGCAACGGCGATGGGGTGAATTTTTTTAGTACTTGGGTTTTATTCTGAAAATTTGAGAAAGAATGGAGGGCAAAGTCGATATTTTATTTATTTTTATTATGATTTAATGATGGCAACAATTGTTAGAAATAGTAAAGGTTAAAGACAATATTAAAACAACAAGGATATAGTTAGTCAATTTCCTAAGTCGGGTTTGAGCAAAATTAGCTATTCAATCCGCCGCAATGTTGCCTTACAATACTCCACTTTAACTTCAAAGACCTCTTTAGGAAGAGGGGTATGAACATAAGTGAGGCATATAACTTTTGTAGAGTTGATGAAAATATTGATCAAAACAGGTTTGGAGACTAGTGGCTAGGACATTGTGAACCAAATGGACAATGAAGTCTCTATTAATAGTTGGTGGTCTAAGATGACCATGATTAACAGCCATGTGACTCAATTAAGTAGAGAAAAGCATGTATTATTCCATGGTTTTTCTGGAAGAATAGAAATGAGAAAATTTTTAATAACAAAAACATCAATCCGGTCGTGATCATTGATAAAGCTCAATCTTTCTACAAACAATTGGAGATTTGTAACAATACAACTAGGGACAAGATCGATAAAAAAGTTTGGAACTCGATTTATTGGTGGAACCCAAAACTAGGGGTTATCAAAATCAATTTTGATGCTTCTCGTAATAGTGAGGGGTGTTGTGCTGTTGCGTGTGTTGTCAGAAATTCCCTTGGGGAGGTCTTGTATTTGAAAGCTTGTCCTATTGGGGAGGCATCGATAAATCTTGTTGAGGCGTAGGCTAGGCTGCTTGGGAAGCACTCAATATGGCTTTTAACTTCAAAGATCAATCCATTTACATTGAAGGTGACTCGCTCATCGTCATTTCCTGTCTCAAGAAGACACTTGACCCGCCTTGGAGACTTCAGACAATCATTGATGAATGCTTCATAGTGGTGGAGTTGCTGGATTGTGGTGTGATTTTTTCTCATGCTTTTCATGAAGCTAACCAGGCAGCTGATTGTTTGGCAAAACATGCTCTCGACTCAGATTCTCTTATTAGCAATTCTCTCCCTGTGCTTCCTAGGCCTCTAGAATTCATTTGTTGGTGCGATTTTTGGGGAATAGCTACCCCTAGGCTTGTGTAGTTCATCTTTACTCTACAAAAAAAAAAAAAACTCCACTTTGCCCTCTAGATTAGACTCTCGAATAGTCCTGCAATGTTGCCTTCTCAATGAGGTTTTAAAACCATGTTTCAAAAGACATGCATGACCCATAGCCAAGGGCCCAAGGCCTTCCACGGTTCCACCTCTGATGGGCCAACTTTCTAGTTTAGTGATTATTTCTCTTGAACGACTACACTATCAAATCATAAAAAGCTCCCAACAGTATCCCAAATTCCCAATAGGCCAATGTGCAAAAGACTTGGGATCACTTGCCAATACAACACGTTCCAACATGCTCCCAACATGATTAGACATCATATATCTCATACATGGTGGGCCCTAATCTCAAGGTGACATGTGCGGTGTCAAATATATTGGGAATGTGTTGGAATGTATTTTATTGGCAGCTGATCCAGATCCGCACATAGCACGACCGCATATGAATTAGGATCACTTGGCAACAAAACATGTTACAACACCCTCCCAACATGATCTGGCACCATACATCTTACCATGAGATTAGAACTAGCATGTATGAGATGTATAGTATCAGATCATGTTGGAAGGGTGTTGAAACATATTTTGTTGGCGAGTGATTCGGGCTCGTCGCACATTGGGCTTCAGGGCTTGTAAGTAGGGATGCTAATGGGTTGGGTCTAGGGTCCAACCTGACCCATTGATAGCCCTAGTTGTTAGGACAGTGTTGGACACATTTGTTGGGAGTAGATAATTTCTTGAAATCCAGGAACTTGGGTTGGATCTGAATCGGTTTGGGACTGAGTGAAATCGTTTTCAACCCAATTGGAATTGAGACAACATATGAGGAATCGGTGTGGAACCAAAACCAACATATGAGGAGTTTGTCGGGTCCAACCCGACTGATTAACAACCCTAGTTGTTAAGAGTAGATCTGTTCATGGGTCGAGCGGGGCTTTTACTCTTCATAAACAAGATTTTGTTAGGCCCGAGCCCGAGCCTGACCCGACCAACGGGCTTACAACTTGGGCCCGAGCCCGACTCTAATAAAAAGCCTGAAGCTCGACCTAACAAAAAGACAGATCGGTGCTTGTGTCTGTGTTCGCTGCCGGTACCTGTGTCTGTGTCTGTGTTCGCCGCCGACCAAACAATAAGAGAGGAATAGAACAAAAGGGCAAAGAGAAAGGACTTACTGCCGGTGCCTGTGTTCATCGATGCTTGAGTTCACGTTTGATAAATGAACTGAGCAGAGATTCTGAGAGTGAGAAGGAGAAATGAGAAGAGGAACAACCGAACATTGAAGAGAGAGAGAGAGAGAGAGGATTCACCCGTCACCGCTGGAGTTCCCTGGTTATGCCGGTTTTGTCTTCCCGAGAATGTTTGGCTATGTGTGACTGTGACTGAGAAGGGAGTTTGTTCGGCTAAGAAAAAGAGATGAGTGATAAGAGAGGGGTTGAGAAGAGAGGGATTAATATTTAGGGTAAGGGTTTAACTTATACAAAAGTCAGGCCAGGCCAGGCTTGGGCCGGACTTTTTTAACAAATCCCGAGCCCGGCTCGTAAAATAATCGAACTCCGGCTTTTAGGCCCGAGGTCAACCCGTCCGGGGGCCCGGCCCATGAACAGATCCAGTTAAGACAGTGTTGGATGCGTACGTTGGGAGTAGATCGTATCTCGAAATCCAAGGAAATGCGATCCATTAACATTCTAACAGTTACCAATAAAAGTCAATTAAAAAGGAGAACGATGTCGAATTGTTGATGTTCCCAAGAACTTTTTTAGTTTTATCTCATCTCTCTCTACCAACGACTGCGGAACATCAATGATCAATCATCCATCCACGAATATTGGTGATAGCCTGATAGGTCCACCCTTTGTACGGCCTAGATTTAAGTTAATTCCTGCTCAATGAAACGAAAATAAGACAAGTGGATCAGGTTAGGTGGTCAGGGAATGAGCTCTCAAGTGATGGTTGTTTGGGACCACTTGTGACTTGTGAGTTTACCATGGGAGCCGGTAACCCGTGTAGCACAGTATAATTTCCATGTATCCACCACATCATTCCGAGTTCCTTGACTTTTAAGTTTGAAGTAGAAATAAATAAGATATTCATATATCGAGGAAAAATATTAATTATTTGTAAAAGCCATGATGAACAGGAAGATTCATGGCAGAAAAAAGAAAATATAATCTCGATTAAGCCCTTCTGTTTGGTGGGACCCATCCATTTAATCGAGCCGTTGATCTAGCCATGGAGATTCCCTTTTGATAAATTTCTCGGCCCTCGCCCATCATTTAAGAAAGAGAAAAGACCCCTCGTGCACAAATCCAAAAAATTTCAAATGGAACCGACCGTTTGCCCCTGACACATTTTTGACCGTTATAAACAGCTTTCGGAGATTTCAAAATCTCTCTCCCCCGCTTTGCTACTTGCCGTCCATTTAGAATACAACCGACGGCTCAGATTTCCTGAAATCATTCCCCAGATTTGCAACCTTCCCTCTTCTTTTCATTCCCCCTTCTTTGTCCTGCCCTCCAGTTTAGCTACTACAGCTATCCCGAATGATAATACAACGCTTTCAGGCCTTTTCCCGCTAATTCCCGGCAAGAAGTACAATTTTCCGGCGAGATCTTTGAATTTCTCCTATATTTTGATCATCCTGGGCAACTGCGTCTGAGAGGAAATTGAAGGGCATGTTTGAATAGGAAGGTTCCTCTTGGCCTTCTCTGGCTATTCTTCGGTTCTTTTAGGATGCCTGTTTCGACCCGCTCGCAGATCCTCAGCAACCAAGATGAGCCAACTATCGACCAGCCATCACGACCCGGGACCGATCAAGAAGACTCCCAGCCGGGTCCTCCTCCATTACGGAATCTGCATCACGGGTTGAAAGAGAAGATGAAAGCTCTTACATTGTTATACGAGCAGCAGAAAAAGGCTTCGGCCGCTCTGAGAAACCAGTCTACAAGAACCGAGGAACGGCGGTTCTCCACCCATCCGAGTGTCGATCTACTAGGCTCTGGTAAAAGAGACGATAAAGAACCAAAACGGAGTCCCGTGATGAGAGAAAAGAGTCAAAACACGTTACCAAATTCCACTGTCACAAGGACATTCGTGTTGCCACCACCGCCGTGTATCCCCACCGCTGTTCCCGATGATTCGAAGGAGAATGTTATGGGTGCCGATCGGATTGTGGGGTTTACTTGCCCGAGGAAAGGGACGATGCCGACCACCGTGGCGAGGAAGCTCTCCTTGGGAAGTTTTGTTCCACAGTCTGAACCTAGAGGCATAGGAGCGACTAAAGTTGCTCAAGAATATGATACTGTTTCAGATAATGCTGGGGTGGGTAGCCGGATTCTTGTTTTCGTGAGGCTCAGACCCATGTCCAAGAAAGAGAAAGAAGCTGGGTCGCGGAGCAGCGTTCGTATAGTCAACCGGCGGGATGTTTATCTCACAGAGTTTGCACATGAGAACGACTATCTCCGGCTGAAAAGACTACGTGGACGCCATTTCACCTTTGATGCTTCGTTCCCGGACACTACAACCCAACAGGAAGTTTACTCCACCACGTGAGTTCTTGGGGTCTCAACTCAGTGCTTCTGTCAAGTTTCATTTTTGTTGTTTCAAAAATGATGAAAGTTCAACTATTTACTACATTTTTTCTTCTTTGGAAATAACCCAATCCACAGATATATTTTTAGATCAAGGGATCAAGTTTATCTGTGGCTAATGAAAAGGCTGAAGCTTTCTGTGTTAATCATGTTTTTCAGTTCAATCTCTTTCTTTTCTCTAGAAAGATTAAGTCTTTATTGTTTAAGTTGTGGTTAATGTTTACTGAGAGTGAATGGTACTACAGAATTTCATGCATATCTGTGGTAATGAAAAGGCTTAAGCTTTCTGTGTAAATCATGTTTTTCAGTTCAATCTCTTTCTTTCTCTAGAAAGACTTGACTGTTTAAATTGTGATTAGTGTTAACTTTGAGTGACTGGTACTAAGAATTTCATGTTCTTCTGTTCATTCATTATCCCTCTAAAGAGTTAGGTGCCATTCCTCTCATTCTTTTAATTTGAATAGAATTTGTGAAGAATTAACAGAAATAAATATCCCATTTGCGTTTACAGAACGGCCGATCTCGTTGAAGCAGTCTTGCAAGGGAGGAATGGATCAGTGTTCTGCTATGGTGCGACGGGAGCTGGAAAGACATACACAATGTTGGGAACTGTAGAAAACCCAGGTGTGATGGTGCTAGCAATTAAGGACCTCTTTGCTAAGATTCGGCAGAGGAGCTGTGATGGCAACCACGTGGTTCACCTCTCCTACCTTGAGGTTTATAATGAAACTGTCAGGGATCTGCTCTCCCCAGGAAGGCCTCTGGTTCTCAGAGAAGATAAACAGGTCTACCCTCTTACTACATTCATGACGGTTTTGAGTATCTTTCTTAGTGATAAAAAAAAAGAGGATGCTCAAATTAATAAATGAAAATCTCCTTCATTTCTTCTTTATCATTTCAATTCATGAACCGCATACTGAATATATATGTTCCTACAAATTCAGGGAATTGTGGCTGCAGGGCTCACTCAGTACCGGGCATATTCAACAGATGAAGTAATTAATATCTTCACTCCTTTAATTTATTCTGTGGTTGAATTCTGGAGTCAGAGAGAGAGAGGAGATAAATATTTTTTCTTGTATGGTTTTTGTCAGGTAATGGCACTGCTTCAACGAGGAAACCAAAACAGAACGACTGAACCAACTCGAGCAAACGAGACCTCCTCACGTTCTCATGCTATTCTGCAGGTAGGCTGACAGTCACGGCATTGATAAATTTCTGTTTCAGGATGCTAATTGGCAAATTCTAGCGTCTTATTCTTGGGAGTCGTATTAACCCATTATTGAAACTGAATAGAAAATTACTTGCACAAAATAATTTGTTTGATAAAATTTCTCCAAATCCATTTTATCAGCACGAAAAGAAAGTGAGAACTAGAGAGAATTCTAATGCCGTGTCTGTGGATATAAAATTATCATCTCCTTCACTGCCCAAGGGAACAGTAATTTAATTTAATAGCCTGTTAGTATATGATCAAATGGAGAAAGGCTGCTGTGTTAGTGGTACTGATTCATCATACCTGGTAATCCCAATGCCTTAAAATCTAGGTTAAAAACATTGAACTCTGTCAAGAAACCAATACTAAGATTGTTCACCGAAAGCAGGTATCTGGATTTGTATAGGTGCTACATAGATTGTTCATAGGATCAACAATTCTTCTTTCTGAACTTTTTTTCCTTTCTTATAGTGTAGTTATTTTTTCTTAAATAGAAGCATGGTTCAATCTAAAAAGGGTCTACATTGTGCTAATCTTTCATATAAAATCAAAGTGAAATCTGTCATTATGTGGCATAGCTAGCTTTTCAGAACCAAGTGTGATGAAGGATTGAATACCAAGAACTCTTATGGGGTATGATCTTATTCACATATTTTAATCAGAACCCCACTGTATAACATGGCAGATTTTCCACCAAGACATGTTAAATGAAAATTTGGTAGAGAATTTAAATTGACATAACATAACACGTTGCTCACCATGGTTTGGCAACATTTTATCATCCATCCAAATCCAAGTGACAGAGACCAAGATGAACCAAAGTTGGGCTTTTAGTAACTAGTAACTGACCCTCATTCCTCTAATGTTCTCTTTATAATCTCTTAGGTGGTTGCTGAATATCGGGTGAAGGACGCTTCCATGAATGTTGTAAATCGAGTAGGGAAGCTCTCACTGATTGACCTTGCAGGGTCGGAGAGAGCCCTTGCAACTGATCAGAGGACACTAAGGTCACTCGAGGGTGCCAATATCAACCGCTCCCTCCTTGCTCTGAGCAGCTGCATCAATGCCCTTGTTGAGGGAAAGAAACACATACCTTACCGCAACTCAAAGCTCACCCAACTCCTCAAGGACTCACTAGGGGGAGCATGCAACACTGTCATGATTGCCAATATCAGCCCAAGCAATCTCTCCTTTGGTGAGACCCAGAACACCCTCCATTGGGCCGACCGTGCCAAGGAGATCCGCACCAAGGTTCTTCCTCTCTCCATCACTTGCTTGCTCTTTCTCATAGTTGTGAATACAATCAAACCAGAAACATTTTATGATACTGTAGGCATCTGAGGCAAATGAGGAGTTGATAGAAGTACCAGAATGTGAGACAGATCAGGCTAAACTATTACTCGAATTGCAAAAAGAAAACCGTGAGCTGCGAGTACAATTGGCACGTCAGCAACAGAAGCTACTAACCCTCCAGGCACAGTCATTGGCTGCAAATTCCTCACCAAACCCCTCATCCGTCACCTCTCTGTTGTCTCCCCTCCCACCCTCTTCGGCTCAAGGGAATGAGAAAAGGCGGGCTAAGTCATCCATCTTAGTGGGTAATTGCTTTACACCGCAATCCAAGAAGAGGGGGGCTGATGAGATGGTCCAAGAGCTTCGACGGACCATCAAGGGATTAGAGGCTGAGATGGGAAGAATGAAGAAAGAGCATGCTTTGCAGCTGAAGCAGAAGGACGATTTCATCCGCGAGCTTTCACGGAAGAGCATGAAACCACCAGAAAGAGGGACAACAAGAGCAGGGGAGGGAGGAGGGGTGAAGAGGGTGGTGACAAGGGCAAACATGCAACCCAAAGAGTCGACTGAGGGTGAGTTGAAGAGCCCAAGTTCTCGCTTTCTATCACCGGCACCGACGGCTAAGAAGCGGACCTTCTGGGATATAACCACGGCTAACAGCCCATCTGTTGTAACATTAAATGGCAGAAAAACCAGAAGCCATGTTGCATCTGAAAGTGTAGCAGCAGCACCTTCTATGCTTCTTCAGGTACAGTGATTTTTCCCTGTAGGCAACTAAATATGATCCTCCGCCCCCACCCTCTCTTTCTTTCTATTCATTTGAGTTTTATCTTCTGCTACTGATGCAGCTTGCATATCCATGTTTCTGGTTTGTGTTAATGTTCGGACCGCATGTCGTCAATTGCATCCTTCAGCCAGGATTTGCTCGTCAAGGGGCCGGCCCTCCGAAGCGATAAAGAGGATGGACACGGGAGGAAGAAAGAATAAAAAAATACGAAAGAGATGAAGGATGAGAAATCAATGTTGTTCATTTGCGGTTTCTTCCTCATCCCATCCTCTCTGCTCGAGCTGGTGGTTTGAAATGAAAGGAAGAAAAGATTACTTTCGTTGGTCGTTCGCTTCTCCTGTATGTCATAAACGATAACCAACCAAATCACAGAAGGTTGTATTGTTTACTATGCCATTCTTTTCTAAATTGTGTTGTTTATTTTTCATCAAGTCCAGAGTGCATACCATGTATAATTCTTTGACCAAAAGCCCAGTAATTTATTAGCAACATTAATTCTCATTACTGGTTGGTTTTCATGATAACATACTGCTTCAGAGTTGCAATAGAAAAGAGTGCAGAATTTTTATTTTTTGTTGTTGTTGTTTTTGCACTCTTTTCTATTGCAACTCTGAAGCAGTAGTATGTTATAACAACTTAAGAGTGCAAATGAATTTCTAGTTGGTCACCATGCTGTATTGTATAGATGGTTTGATTATAACAACTTAAGCTAGAGCTCGGTACAGAAATCAGTCTGATTTGTTCAACCCCCTTTTTTGAGAGGGATGATTCAAGCATGTCGCCGTGGAAATTGCTCTTGAATGAGGGCTTTGTTCAATAAACCGAGTGTAAACTCTGGTTTACTTTTGCTTCAGATTTAATTTTGTTTTATGTTTGTGACAAGTGACATACGAAGTCAAATGATGTGATCTCCGTCTTATATAAAGAGAATGGAAGTTGGAGGAAGAGGGTTATGTATTGTGGAGTGAATCGGAAGAAAGATGATTTGATTCCCATTTATGTGAGAGATAATTGAGGTAAGAGAAAAATGATGACAATTTTGCATTGTAAATGAGAGCAAATAAGTTAAATAGTATAAAATTTGTATCAGGCAAGAGTGCAAATCATAGTTACAAACAAGCTGATACAAAACTGAATCGGGTGCAAAATTTGTATTCGCTCCAGATTTGCACCGCAAACAAAGAAAGTCCATGAAAAAAAGGTCTTTTGTTCATAAAAATCAATCTCCAACTCTAGCTTTAATCTAATTCTTTTTTATAATCAAAATTGACCACTCAATTTGTAGTTTGTATGGATTATAGATTTTGTAGTACTAGATTACCATCTAGACCTAAGTGCTGTTAGGGCATTTTGGTCCTAACAAACTCAAAATTTACAATGGTGGGATACTTTTAGATTTATGAGTAGTAATGTAACAACATTCTTTTAGCCCATGCAATGAATATCTAATGGAAGGTCTGCATTAGGCAAGCATATGTATGATAGGGGAAGTTTGAGGAGAAATAAAAAAAAAAAAGAATCTAATGGAAGATCCTATTTTTTAATTACTAGAGAGAGATTAGTGATAGGAGAGAGGATCTGTTGGAGGAGATGGTTTGGGGATGAAGAAAGAGAAATGAGAAGGATCAGGAATTGGAAGCAAATTAGAGAAAAAATTATTATAGAAGAGGAGAAATGAAGAGAAAGTGAGAGGGAGCTTAAAGAGAGAAAGAGAGAGATTTATATCCAGGCTGGTACGGGTTTTGTCTCTCATATTAGAGTCTGAGGCCGGTCTGACCATTGGACCTAGATCTTGATATAGAGCCTGGGCCCTGGCCTATATAAAACCAGAAATCCGATCTAAATAAGAGGTTAAACAAATTTTATTAATACATTAATATATTATTAAATGCTAATATATATTTATTATATATCATGTTATTGGGTCGGGCTCAGGCTCATGTTAGGCTTATTTAAAAAAGCCCGAATTTGGCCAAAAAAAAACCAAGCCTGATACTTACAGCTCAAGCCCGCAGGCCTAAATTGATGCTTGAGCCTGTGGCTAGATCTGATCCGTTGAGCTACCCGGTGCACCAACAGGTCTATCTGTCTATAACCACCCCAATCCCTGTTTTTGGGCTACTTACCGATTTTCATCAAAACATTGCTTATAAGTTATCCGAGTGAGGTTCACCTTGCACAGCCGAAAGCTCTTTCAACAAAAGCTTGTTGCTCTTTCAAAAAAATTGGGGTTTTTTCTGGTTGAACAGAGGGTTGAATTTAGATTGAAGAAGTAAGCATGTTCGTCTCTATCTCTTCATGAGTTTCATATTTCCTGTTTCTCTTAGCAACTACTTTGCTTCAAGGAGTTATTAGTTAGGACTCAAGAAACATGCGCTGCATGGGCTTTGTTAAGCGAAATTGAACTACAAGCATACCAAGGAGTGAACGCAAATATTACTCCAACTTGGAAGTTGGGATTTGATAAAAAGATGAATTAGATTCTTTTTTGTTGTATATAAGATGAATTAGATTATGCATATCTCTTGTAAGCAAAAACTCTGTTAGATAGCATCCAGTTACGTATTAGAAATATCTCCTCTACATTTAATGTTAAATTCATGGGAGATTCCAAATGTAGAAATGGATTTTTATGCTTTCATGGTATATGCAGAGTTGGTAGATTTTTTGAATCGTCGGAGTAGAGACCTGGGATCAAATCCCGCTGGCACCAGGGGTTGTGGGGGGTGGGTGGGTTAAGGGAAGGGGGATGGACTACCCTCTGTTGTGTGTTGTGTAGCCCATGGAGTGAAAAAAAAAATGGTGTATGCAGAGATTTTACTTGCAGAGTATCCCATCACACCAAAATATCAATTGGTGCATCTACTGTGACTACGGTTGCAGCAAAATCTTGCAACCGCCCAATACTCCCTGGTGTTTCGAATTTAAAATAAAGTGTGGTCTCAGTGTTTTATTGGGCGGTCCCATGTTGCAGCAGATAAGAACCTTTATCTCCGCATGCATTAATAATTAGTAAATGTCACAATGCATGGTTTATATCCTCTTTTTACTTTCAAGTTTATTGTGAAGGGCTCCTTAAGTATGATATTGAATTTTTGTTTTATGATTAATTTGGTAAGAGTATAAATATAAATACATATAAAATAATACAAAACATAAGGTTTTACATTTTATATATTTGTATTTGTACTCTTTTGAACGTTGTACAATTGTATTGGTGTAAAATATGGAAGGTTTAATTTGGAAGAGTACAAATACAAATATATAGTCTGAATATAATGTTTAGAAATAATATATACAAGATTTTGCACTGAGTATATTTGTATTTATACCCTTCCTAAACTGACCAGGAGGGAAAATTATTTGAGGGCAATTCATTTTTTGTCTTTTATTCAATTTTTATTTGCTTTTATTTATTTACAATAAAAATATAAACCAAAATTTACATTTTTCTCGTTTGCAATCTCATGCATTTGCATTTGTGTAGTAGTGGAAAAAAAAAAAACCGTAGAGTGCAAACAAACTGAGACAATTCAAGAGCACCAATAATGTGGATGTCATCTCAGTGCAGTAATTTAGAGAAAGAGGTTCAATATTTCTATCCATTTTCATCCATTTGATATAATCATACAAGGGAGAAAATCTACACACATTAGTCAAATGTTGGGGCGTAGAAAGGCCTGATAGTGGGCCCCATTTGAATTATGCTATTTTTTTTTCTATCGTGTATTCTGATTTATGATTGATAGGGGTGAGCAAAAACAACCGGAAAATCGAATCAGTCGGTTCGGTTTGGTTAACCTTGTACAAAAATCTGCAGTTAATCAAATCCATCGATGTATATATTATATATTATATTATATTTATTTTTAAAATCGAATAACCTTATTGGTGCGCGTCTGTCACTCTGTCCGCCTAGCGCCTGGTGCACGCCAGGTTAAACTACTGCCTCGTGTTTTTTCAATTTTCATAAAACCTTAGTACCTTATCTCTCCATGAAAATTTGTTATTTTTTAAAATCTAATAATAAATACATGTGCGTTTATGTCCGCCTGGCCAATGGCCTCTCAAGTCTCACCTAGTGGCCAGTTTTCATCTTGCTTTGATGCTTCCTTGTCTCTCTCTCTCTTTGTCGCCTGTCATTTCGGTCTCCGTCGCACCAACCATTAAGACACCGGTTGCCACCTCAACTTCGGTTTTTTTTTTCCTCACCCCTACAACAACCAACCAAGACACCAGTCGCCGCCTCAACTCCGCCACCTCCCAGGCTCTGTTGTTGTCTTTCTCATCTCTCATTTCCATGGCTCCGCCACATCTCAGGCCAGGTAATTTTCCCTTTTTTTCTTAATTTTGAGTGCAAAAAAAAAAAAAAAAACTGAAAAACCAAACCATGGTTAACCGGTGGACCGGTTACATCGATTTGATTTTTAAAAAACTGATCAAGTCGGTTTAATTCAAAAAAAAAAAAAAACCCACGGTTCGATTAACTCAACCGTGAAGACCTCTAATGATTGAGCCAATGTAACAAATATAACTCTAAATGGTTAACTACTAAAAGCTGTAATGGGTCGAATCTGCCCAATATAACCAAACCGACTGAACCAGTTATATCGGTTCTGTTTATATGGTTTGTTCTGAACTGAACTGATTAATAGGTAATAATATATAAAGATTTTCTGGCTTTTATACAATGTTCATTATTAGAGTTTTGACCAATCAAAATCCATTCATGAATTTTGATAAATAACACCTGATATCATACTATATTTATGATTCTAATTTATTGATCAGTTGTATTTCTGATTTTTCTATATCATAGTCAAAAGTTATATTATCAAAATCAAGTTCTGAATCATTATTACCCAATTGTTTTGATCCGGTTTTGGGTCTGTATTATTGTCCTAATTAATAACCGAAACGGGACTGATACACCATATCCCGAATCAGACCAATTCATTGACAGCCCTAGATGATTCAAATTCATATTTTAGGTTCCCAAGGTTTAAAATATCAAATACACCCTGATATGGAAGGGATGTATTTGTATTGATAATTTATACCTTATACCATTTTTTTAGTTTTTTAACTTTTTTTTTTTTAATTTCAGTCTAGGCATATTTTTACATGTTTTAATCATTAAAAGACAGTTTCTTAAAAATACTTTCAAATGAATGTATCAAAAACTAAAAGTCTAAAATTAATAGAAGTGCTGTGTAATATTGTTATGATCAGATATTTATAATGTATTACAGAAGACTCTAGAATCAAGACAATACGTCCAAATTCTTAAGCGGATTCTCCAGTCCATTGTAAGTCATCTTGGTTTTAAAAAAGAAAATACTACGGCTGCATTCGCATTTTTATTTTAGAGACTTATCTCTTTTTTTTCTTTTTCAATTAAAAACTTAAAACAAGAAATGCCAAATGCAGCCTAGCCTAAGCCATTAGCCATATGGTTATGACTCGTTGGCGAGCCAAGAGTGAGGACAGAGAGTAGAGAACAT